GAAATAAAGTAATTACAAGAAATACAAACACATCCCTCTAATCTAAGTGTCGCTGCCTAAGAGTGGGTGGGTTTGCACGGCTGTAAGTGCGTTTACTAAAAGACTGTCTCTTTTAAAAAGTATATAGAAATTATTCTTTTCTTTCATCTGATCATTGAAGATTAAAAAAGCTCTGCAGCGAAAAATTCTTACTGTTAGTCGTAATACAGCTAACAAAAAAAGGAAAAAAAAAAGAAGAAAAAGACAGTTTTACTAACAAAGAAGCTTAAAGGAAGGCCTGTTGCAACGATTGCTCTTCGACCTTACACGGTTTGGATAATTATAAAAAGAGAAAAAGAATTATAACGATAATTGTAACCAAGGAAACTTAAGAAATCATAATGGCATTACCTCTCTATTCAACTTCCATTTCGTTTAAAACTTAGAAATCACTTAGATAACTTTATACACGATCATTTATAACAATGTAAATCGTAATCATTGCATTAATATTTAACATATATATTCTTATATGTAATATATGTATATCTGTGTGTGGATGTTTTGTCTGATCTATTTCCTAGTTTAATAATAAAACTATAATACTAAATTATGTTGGTACCACGCCTTTCCGAGATCAGAGTCTGTTTCTCATCTTACTCCCTTTTTTTTTATGTTTTTCTTCCATTTCTTTCTCTTCTCCGTTTCGGTATACATACGCTATATATCCCCGACACGCATCTTTTTTTTCCATACCAAATTTATTGTCGTTAATTTCAACTTAACTTTTATTATATCTCTTTTATTAAAACCGCGACAAATTCGATTGTTTGCAAGCGAATGACGGAATATTCATAAAATATATATATATATATATATTTATATATGATTATATCTGCTTTAATATAAAATTTACAATTTCGTCATCTGGAACGCGCTTCCTGCAGGGACTACGAGCAGGAAATCCTTTCCACGATACGTTAAAACACGCGTACCAATTCTTTTTTTGTTTTTTGTTTTTCTCTTTTTTTTTTTTATTTTTAATACAATTTCCCTCGGTTTTTCGAATCAAACTCAAGCTCGGGCTGGCCAGTACTTCTAACGTGTAAAAGTGTATACGTGTGTAATGTACTTATGTATCGTGTATTTCAAGTTCTCTTTCAGGAGTTTTATGGAAAATGTTCGGAAATACTGAAAGAAACAACCATTAGAATTGAAAATTACACGACTCGTTTAAAAGATCGATAAATTTGCAAATAGAAATACATTAATACAACAATTGCCCGATCTACTTTCTATTTTGTGAAAATAAACGTATGATTCGACTAATAAACGCATGACTCTGTGTTATATTCTTTTTCCTCTCATCTAATAACAGAACATTTTCGATAGAAACTCTTAGTTACACATAGACGCGAAATATATGTATAGTACGTACTCATGTATTCGTGTGTCGTAAAACGCGTGTTTACAGTATTCACGCTTAACCCCCCGAAGCATACATTTTTTTTTTTTTTTTTT